CCATCATTGAAAACTATAAGAGCGCTAGCTTTCGGCTTCACCCAGTCTGAGGTCCGACTCGAGCGACCCGATCGTGACAATCGCAGAGGTGCTCCCTTTACTCCCGAGCCGAACAATCGGGGACGTAGGGGTAAACACATGAGCTAGGCAACCCAGCTTGCAAATCGCTTAAGTCAATATGGTGCATATTGTGGCATAATACACGAATAAGGAACGAAGTTGTACAAGTATAATCACATGCAAGAGGAAAAGCTTCATAAAGGAAACCCCCAAGTGAATTGGGTCCTTGAATTTGTGTGTCACAAATAAAGTTTGGACAACGAAAAAATTTTACAAGCAACTTTTTCCAAAAAAGTATAATGCTTGGTCGAACCGAACACAAGTTAGAAATTAAAGCTTTGAGCATGAAAGTGACTTAGCTGGTTAATGTGTTCGGTATTGATGACGCGGTCCGAGCTTGATGCGGGGCAAGGTTCCATCCCTCAAGCCGGTCCCGAGGTGGCGAAGCGGAGAGCTCGACACGACGAAGTGGTGACATAGCACGGTCAATGCAGACCGGCAGAGTGACGCCGAAGTCCCCGGATCGTTTTCATGTGCACAAAAAATAGTGCAAACCTATGATAATTAAAAAAATGTTGCATAATAAATAATTTATGCAAAGTGGGTAATAAAAGAAATATGGCCCGGCGCCGAAGTCAATGTTGATGCAGGGCGTCGGCGTGATGCGATAAAGGCGTGGCAAAGCCTGAATTCACAGGTCGGTCCGAGTTCCGGATGCGGCATTCGCCGGACTATGTACGGAGACTGACCGGAACACCATGCGACCGTCGTTAATGCGGCCACCATTTGATAGACCTGTGTACATATGATGGACAAACCAGAGTAATAATTCCTTGGAAAAAATTGAACCCAAACAAACAAAAAATACTAGGATTAATAGCACCTGGTTTATTTGTTGTAGCAATCCGAAGGAAGGTGATTCCCAAAATTGGGACTCGATCCGCACACCCATTACCGGAATAGGTTGATGAAGAGATGGCGAAGCCTCGATGTCAGCCGATGAGTCGAAGTAGGTCGGCGTGATGGACACCAGCTTGAAGAAGCAATAGTGCGGCCCTGCCAATGCAGGTCGTGACGTGGTCGATGCCGGCTTGATGAAGCGACCGTGCGGTGATGCCGGTATGCCCGCTCCGTGTAATCCGTGGGGCGGCGATGTTGGTGATGATTTATCCTTCGCGATGCCAGACTCTTGTTCGTCTTGCCGAGATGATGATCCGAAGAAGTTGAGCTCGGCTCGACAAAGTGACGACGTGTCTAGCGCAGGTCGGCAGCCGTGGAGCAATATTACCGGACTGGTTTGACACCAGCATGATGTTGAAGATCATGTTCAAAAGATCTTAAAGTTAGTGGGATGTGTTCGGGAACAAAACACAATACCCCATACAAAACTTCCTTCAAAAGGGATGTCCGAAATCCTGTTCATAAAAAAGACGAACTCGGGTCGGATTCGTTTTCACGCAGAAAACATATCCGAAAAGTGATGCATTAATCGGAAGGTTTCCGGAGTTTGGACGGTCGGATCGAGCTGAAATTTTGAGAGGTGCTAGATATAGGAATTCCGCAGCCGATCAACGGTTGGATCTTTCAAAGGACTTCCGAGCTAGAAGCTGGACACCATGCCCTAAACTCGTCCAGATTCCCGTCCAGATTTGACAGGGCTCCGGTATATCGTAGATTGCCAGAGATTCCTCCATCGGAACTTGACGAAATTTTCTAGGGTTGTTGTAGACTCGATTCCGCACAATTCGACCAAAGCGATCGTTAAAGTGACGCTCGAGGAGGCGGTGTCGGCGGATACGCGTTCGCTGTCCGGAAAAACAGCACAGCCGCCCGAGGGCAATGTTGACGTTGAGCCCCCGAGCTCCATGGACGATTCCTCCTTGATCTTGATAGAGATCGGAGTTGGTGTTGATGAAGGCCCTCGTCCGAACATGGTGATCCGAACCCGGGGCGCAGTTCTTGGTTGAACCAAGGGGACCAGTCGAGCTGGTGACGAGGATGCCGAAGTCGCAGTTGATCTGCAGGCGAGCCGTCGATCCTTTTGTCGATCACACAGCGGAACTCTCAGTGAAAGCACCAATGTCGGTGTCAAAACCGGCGGATCTCGAGTAGGGGGTCCCGAACTGTGCGTCTAGGATCGATGGTAACAGGAGGCAGGGGACACGAAGTTTTACCCAGGTTCGGGCCCTCTTGATGGAGGTAAAACCCTACGTCCTGCTTGATTAATATTGATGATATGGGTAGTACAAGAGTTGATCTACCACGAGATCGTAGAGGCTAAACCCTAGAAGCTAGCCTATGGTATGATTGTTTGTATATATGATCTATCGACTAGCCTGGCCCTGGTTTATATAATGCACCAGAGGTCCAGGTTAACAAGAGTCCTAGCCGAATATGCCGGTGGGGAGAAGTCCTTGTCTTGATCGCCAAGTCTTGTGGAAACTTCCTTGTATGCGGCAGTTGTCCGAACTGGCCCATGAGTATACGGCCACGGGGATCCTCAGTCCAATCTATCAGATCGGGAGATGACGTGTTGAGTACCCCCTAGTCCAGGACACCGTCAGTCGCCAATTGCATAATCTAAATCGCCTTATATTACCTGCCAACCATACGGAGTAATCCATGGAGAGACGCAGGCTGTAAGTTGGCTTCTGGACGAATTCAAGAAAAATGATGATGGACTGGATTAGCTTGAACCAAAGATGACGACGGCGCCGACAACACGATCAACACTTCTGCTTCTATAGGCTTGAATGACCATCTCAAGACTGATGTCGGCAAGACCGCTGTGTTGGCTATGACTCTCGGATGAAGTTTAAGTTGGGTGTGGAGAAGGGGAGCAACCGAAAGAGGAGTAGAGCTATGAAAGGACTCTTGATTTCCAAGGGCTTTATAGATTGAATGGGAGAGGTCCAGGGGCTTAGTGGAGTAGTCAGCTGCCTAGATCCTAACTGGACGGAGGAAGATACACATGTAGGGGAAGAGGAAGGGACGGGACATGATGAGATGTGTAGATCAAGCAGCGTGTTAGATGCACCTGACCTATTTGACTCCCCCACTTACAACAGAAGTTAGAAGAGCAACCGACCGAGGGATGGTTGATCATTTGTGCTAAATAGAAGGAGGTGTTGTCAAAAAAGGATAGAGGGGTGGCTGATCCTTTCTGCTAAATAAAAGTGGTGTCTAAAGAGCAAACGATCGAGGAGTAAATAAAAGTTGCATCGCATGATCAGTTAGTTTTTTCTAAGGTGGAATGTGTGGGGCATGTGGGATGACGTGGATACTTGCATGTAAGTGTAGCATGATTTGTTGGAGTTTTTTCTGATGTGAAATGTGTGGGGCATGTAGGATGATGTGGATAGTTTATGTTAAGAGAAATAAGATAGTGGGGATGAACTATTTAGGTATTATAGATATGGTGGATAGTCCGGACAAACACATTTCTTCCCCACATATGAACTGGGATTTGTGGGAGTTCGGACTATTAGTCGGTTGAATTTTGAGGAGCCCGCTGGGCACCTGTTTGATGTCATAACAGTCCCGGATGTCCAAACATGCCCGTGGGTTGCAAGACAATATAAATATTCTAGTATGTTACCTTGTGATTATCTTCCTATATTAATATGGTTTGTAAATAAGTGTTTATCAAATGTTGCCCCTTTTTTACGTTATACTGATGAGAAGTTTAATAAGTAAATTAAAATGAAATTGGTTCAGAAGATAAGTAAATTAACATGATTAATCATCACACATATAGAAAGTTTAGACGAAGGGCTGATGAGAAAAAAGTGAACATGAAACCTTACATTCCTTTTAATTAGTATATACTCTCAATCTTACATCCTCATTCTTTTTAATAATGGACAACGCTAACGCCCACACATGTGGTGGGAGCGAAACCCGTCCACACACCCTGTAGTACACAGACTGCGTCACGTCACCGCATGCATGCATGTGAGAATCCTTTTAAATTTTCTGTTTTTAAAATGTTTTATCTCTTAAATAAAAAATCCGATTGAAGATTCGTTTTCGCCATTAAATCTCTCATGATGAGATCTTCGAAACTAGATCTCATATCAATATATTTCGACGAGTTTTTTTCCGGTTAAAAATTGCTATGTCTATTGCATATGAATTGCCATGGTGTTTACACTGAAGTTATCATGATATATTTCAACTATTTTCTTCTACATTTAAAAGTAATTTTTGACATTTATAAAATAGGAAATTAAAAAACTAGACTTGCCATGAACCATAAACTAAGATTGCCATGATACATGCATTTAAAATAGCCATGGTTCATACAAAAAATATTTTTCATGGTCAAAGTACTGCAGTTGCCATCATCAAAATACTAAAATTGCCATGCTCTACAAACTTAAATTGCCACATGACAACTTTAATTTAAGCACTATGTCAACTACAGTGTAAACATCATGGCAACTTCTGGGCAAAAAAATATTCGTCGAAACATATTAACATGGGATCTAGTTTTGAAGATCTCGTCGAGACGAATTTAATGGTGAAAATATATTTTTTAGTTCGACTTTTTAAATAAGAGATAAAACATTTTTAAGCCGAAAACCAAAAAGATACCTGCTGATGTCATCTGTTCACATGTGGTAAAATGAGTGGTAAATAAGACATGTGAGCGATGTGCAATATGCCACACATGTGAGTGTTAGTTTTTTCGTTAATAATTTACCTATATGATGAGGAAAAAAAAGACGCGGCCCGATCCCACAACTTCATCCGATCTCCTAACCTCGTCACCGTCCGATCAAACTAAAACCATCCAAACCGATCAACCATCGTCGAAACCCTAGCGCCGCCGCACTATATAAGCTCCTCCCGTCCAATCTATCCCCATTTCCCAGACCACCCAAACCCACACAACCCACTCGGCGGCGGCGACGGCGGCGGCGGCGGAGCACGCGAAGATGGTGAAGTTCCTGAAGCCGGGCAAGGCGGTGATCCTTCTCCAGGGTCGGTTCGCCGGCCGGAAGGCGGTCATTGTGCGCGTTTTCGAGGAGGGCACGCGCGACCGCCCCTACGGCCACTGCCTCGTCGCCGGCCTAGCCAAGTACCCCAAGAAGGTGATCCGTAAGGACTCGGCCAAGAAGACGGCGAAGAAGTCGCGCGTGAAGTGCTTCCTGAAGCTGGTCAACTTCACCCACATCATGCCCACCCGCTACACCCTGGATGTCGACTTCAAGGACGTGGCCTCCGGCGGGCCCGACGCCCTCGCCACCCGCGACAAGAAGGTCGCCTCCTGCAAGGCCGCCAAGGCACGTCTCGAGGAGAGGTTCAAGACCGGCAAGAACAGGTGGTTCTTCACCAAGCTCCGCTTCTAGGAGCAGAGCGTCTTTACAATACTAGTATTCCTTGTTCTTGCAATCAATAGCACACTGAGCTATCTCTATCACTGTTTTTGTATTGTCCATGAGGATTTTGTGGTTAGTATGGATCTCGGAGAGAGTTTAATTAAGGCATGATGATGATGATGATGTTCCATGTGTTAAATCATGCTAAAGAATGCACATGGTTGCAATTTTGTTGGATCTTACTCCTTGAGCTGTTTATTTCCCCAATTCTTATAACTATATTGATTAGTCTTGTTCGTGAGTAATATCTGACGCAACCTTTCTGTTAAATAGTGCGGTGTTTACTGTTTAGGACTACCATGGATATTAGCTACCCAGTATATTCAGTTAGCCCTTTAACGGTCTAATAATTGCTACCCTGCTTGGTATGCTTGTAACTTCCTCATATTGACCATCTCACTGCCTTGCATGCTCCACTGATCCACCCTCAACATGTTGTGTTGGGTTTAGTACTGTTTTGGCATGCTTGTAGCTTCTTCATATTGACCCTTTTCACTGTCTTCCATAGCTTCTTCGTACAGTTATATGCAGTGCCAAGACAGCAAATGGTCTCATTGTCATTTTGATTATATACCCTTTTTGGCTTGCAATTAAAATGCATCACTTGTTTTTCTCAATTGTACATAGTATGAGGGCCTTAAAAGTTATCATGTGATACCATGTTCACCCTTGGAAGAAACTATGATATATTTAATGAAAATGAGAATATGAGAAAATGATGCAGTGAAGCAGTCTGTTGATCATGTCGTACAACATACAACGTTTACAGTGCAACATGATCTCAAAGATTGAGCTCCTGCTTGCATTGGCCTGTTTTGTGCTGAATCTCTTATCTGCAATCGGTTGTGTAGTGGTCTTCGTTTCACTTGTCGGTTGTGTAGTGCTCGTATTAGATCAGTCTTGCCTTGCCTTTGATTTGGTCTTCCATATTTGTGTGCTGCCTATATGGACCAAAAACGATAATTTATATATTGCTTCCTCAGATACATGGTGAAAATTAATGGATCAACACTGCCATGTTGCTATAATGCGGTGAAAACATTTGCCTTACTGTATTCTGAACCAGAATTGCATTAGTTCTAGTACGCCCTCTGATCCATATTACTTTGGCTGCTCAAAGGGATGTCTAGGTCTGTATTGGCCATCTTTTTATTTGATCCTCTTGACTGTTTTGTAATGTCAAATGCTATATTTATGTCTCTGTTGCAAGTATTCTTTTTTTGGTGTTGCAAGTACTCTGATGAAAAGCTAACTAGCAGCAATAGCAAGAAAAAAAATACTGAATAGTTTTTATTAGCTTTTTGTGGTTGTGCTTTACCTCAGCTCATTCTTTAGCTAGGTTGGCTCAGTCGTACTTTGTGGTATTCCCTTGGTTTGTGTTATTCCATTGATATAAGTTGTTTTAACGATTGCAAAATAGGTCTGTTACTATACTTGTATGTTAATATTATAGTGATTCCCTCTGTAAAGAAATATAAGAGCGTTATGGAGGGAGTAATTTGTTATAGTTCAGTGAAGTGATTTTGTTAAGTTAAGTGATTTACATTCATGTGAAGTGGCTCTGCTTTATTCCCTTCGTCAATTGATGTTTATATATGGTTTTGTTATGTATACTACATATATGTTGTGTTAGTGACGTTTTATTGTTGATGTTGGCTGTACATTGCTAAGTTATGTTACTCACACCCCTCTTGTCGGTTTCGCCCTATTCTACTCCACGCCCTCTAAATCTCCAATTGGGTTTGAAATTGACACTGAGAATGGCATCTCTGTTCCTTGTGAAGGCTGTGTGATTGTTCCTTGTGAAGGCCGTGTGATTGAGATGAACGCATCTGATGGACCACGCCCTTTTGCTACATGTCCTTTTGCTACATGTCAGGGTAGCCCTCTCTTGTCAGTGACCCAATTGCACCCTGAAGTACATGAACGTTGTTGAGTCCTTTGCTAGACTGTTGGTTCAACAATTCAACTCTTGACTCGATCTCTTTTCCTGCGTAGTTCTGTTTAGATACACACCAGCCAAATGAGAAGACGCAAGCGCAAGATAAGCATACACTGTTGTGTTTGCTTGCAAACCAAGAGTTGCTCCCAACAGATGTTCTGGTCCGCCTTAGGAATCGCCCTAGACAGATCAACATCCGTTTTTTTAAAATAAGCTTCCGTTTTTATCAATTGTCTAAAACAAATCATTACCTGATGATGCTCTAATGTTCCTTGGTAAAGTAATGTTGGGATTAACTTCGGGCGCTTCAAGCAGATACCACCCTTTGTCCTCTCTTTCGAATTTTGCATTCGATTCGTGAGTTAGGGATCGGATTGAACGTGGGGTTCGGAAGGGGATTGACCACCACATGTGGATTTAGGCGGTACCGATGAATTTTAGGGTTCATACGGGGATTGAGTACAAGGGGGTTAAGGTTGGGGATGGGGGTAAATCAATCTTACAAACATTGATACATCCTACCCGCAGTGACCTTGTAGGCGCTTGGAGCGGCGGGGGCCCTTAGCCTTGTCGGCGTCCACCTCCGGCTCGACCGCATCATCCATCATCTCCTAATCATCGTCGTCGTCCAGAATGATGGGCATTGTACGATTGCCTGGATGTCACCCTGACCACCAGCTCCACCGCTTCGTGGTCGTCCTGCGGCGCCACCACGACGGTTGGTTGGGCACAAAGAGGCCTAACAAGCCTGTATTTGGCCCATCTGGATCTTTGACCAGGATCGCCGGACTCGGCCTGATCCATTGCCCAGCGTAGTATGTCCACTAGCACAATGCCTTTGACTGGGTTAGGTATCATCGTCTTCAACTCCTTCATCGGCTTCAACACCACATTGTCTGCCTCTTTATGCATGTCCTCAATGCTGGTGAACTGAGAGCTCACCTCCATGGTCTTGGCGAACTTGGTGCGGGACTGAGCGAGCAGCCAAGGAAGAAAGCGCTTCATCCAATGCCGTTGGGGAAGGGGTTGGTGATGGGGTTCATGGTGATGGAGAGGTGGTAAGACAGAGTCATGGAAGAGGATAGAAGACAGAGAGAAGTAGTGGAGTACCGTGGTGGATAATTAGGGGCTTTGGGCTAGATGGGTAGGACTAATGAATGCTGATAAATAGTTATGGTGTGTTGCATTTGTCCTTTCATTGACCTTCGTTTGTGATGTTGATAATGCAGATCAGTAATGCTCCCTCGGAGAACTCCAAGGGCAAAGCAGCTAGTGTCGGCTGAAGAGAAGGGCAAGGAGGTGGTGAGCTCCCCAACGCCCCCAAGCAGGCGAGGAACTTCGGCCATTTTCATGAGGAGGCTGGGCCGACCCACTTTTGCAAGATCATCCTTGCACCGAAGCTAGAGTGCTTGCCGATGACACTGGACTTCACCAAGCACTTCACCGCCGCCCCTCAGGAATTCAAGCTCAAGACCAACATCGGTTGCACCTGTAAGGTGACGGTCCGAGTGATCAACGGTAGGGTCATCCTTGACCAAGGTTGGTCCCCCTACGCTACTGTTCACCAAATCAAGATTTGGTACCTCGTCACTTTCAAGCTGCTGACTCTGGGCAGCCTCAAGTTGACCGTCTTCAATAAAGATGACGTCAAGGTGGTGACGAAGTGCAAGAAGCATGACGTGGCCTTCGCCATGGGCGTCTAGAAAGTTCACTCTTGCGTGGTTTGCTTCATTTTAGCGTTGAGCGGTTTGTTTAAGATTATGTTGAATTATGTGCCACTATGTTGAACTGGCTACTATCTATGTCTTGCATCATTCCGAATGGAGATTATCAAACAACATGCGTTGCATCTAACCAAACAGTCTGACTTGGCTTTCTGCCTAAACAAGTCCGTAACCAAACAACATGTCTTGCCTTTCTTCGCTGCCAGGCTGGGGGTATGCATGCAACCGAATGATGCGCAGATGATGATTTTTTGTTTGCATTTGCTCAACCAGGCTCAACTAAGATAAATATGCAAAGTAACAAAAAACGACGCAGACAACCAAATGTTTGCTCTTAAGAATTAAAGTGGAGGAGCTTCAAACTGTGACTCGAGACGCACAGATGACTTTCTGTTATGGCCTCACTCTCACGGATGCAACAAAGAAGAAAGAAACTCGAGGACCATGTTCATGTCATTTCTCTATAATCACTTAGTTTTCACGCTCCTTGCGTTTTCCAGTTCCTAGTAATCAAGTTGTACAATGTTGGTCCTCGAGCGGTCAAGCTGATCGGACGAATGTGAAAATCGAGATCATTGTTAATTTTTTTCGAGTAGTAGTGTTGGTTTATGAATTGCCAACATCGATCTACTACATAATACGGGAGCATATATGTGAGTAATATACGGCAATGTGCAACGAGTCAGAATTTCTGTACAGTTAACCTTCCCATATGAGTATGGATATCAGTGCGTAGGTACGTTCCTCAGCTACAGAATTGACCTGCTTACAGTGTTACTAATCTTGTGCATCCACAAACAAAAATACAGAAGGCAAACAATCTTGTTTTCTTGCACTTCGTAGCTGATGGCTGATGGCGCGGTTCTTGGCCGGTCATTTCGCAACTGATCGATCGGTTCTTCGCGCTCGATCGATTTCCTGACCACACTCTGCTCCTCACACCTCGATGCCGCTCTGCGAGACCCTGTCGTCGGGCGGGCTGATGGTGATCCAGAGCAGGGAGACGGTGATGGAGATGAGCCCCGCCCAGACGTAGACGATGGTCGGCGTGCGGCCCCGCCGCCCCATGAGGCCCTTGGCGAACGGGTAGTAGTGCGCCAGCACCCAGAAGCTGAAGAACCCGCCGCCCAGCAGCTTGCTGTACTGCGGGATCTCCGCGTACACGCAGCGCGACACCCCCACCACCATGGCTATGATGTTGATCCCGATGATGGCCAGCGGCGGGATGAAGAGCGACGTCCACTTGATGAGGTACAGCTCCGCGAACGGGTCGTCGTCGTCCTCCGCCGCCGCCTTCGCCGTCA